TATCTGACACTTAATAACATGAACATGACAAATACTCAATTTTATCGGAACCTCAAAAGCTAGTGCATTTTGCGGATTTGGTTATGCATTTTTGCATGCATGCAAATGCAAAAACGAGGTGAGGCAACATTGGTCAAAGGAACTGGACCAGTTGTCAGTTGCACAGATGAAGAATCAGACTATGAATTAACAGTTGTTTCAAGCATTTCAAACATAAATTTTGCGGGTTTAAAAAATGTGGAACGCTAACGTGATCCTGCGGCGATCCGTAAAATACTCTGAAAATAGCGTGATTCTCCAAAATATTGTTTTCGTGATACTGTGTAAATCAGCACTGCAATATCGTAACATTCATAAATAAAAATTCCGCAAAATACTTCCCCAAAAGCGACGAAATATGACAATTTGCCGGAAAAAATCCCTGTACCAAGTTCTGGCACATAATGATTGCACTGGCTCCCTACGCAATTTTTAAAAATCGTTCTGAGCAAAGAGAACGATTTTCTGGAAATTTCGGCTTCGTTCACGACAATCTCCGGACGTATCACTACACCACCGGTTCTTGTGCTCCAAGTTCAGACTAGCAGCACATCTACTGTGTATCTGCCTACACTTTCCTACTCTTTTTTCTTTGTGGCAGCTTCTTGGCCGGCTTTTCGCGGGTTTCCCGTGGCACTGTTAGTACGTGTATTCCAAATCGTTAAGCTATGCAGCTGGCAACTTTTCCAGTTCGTTTCTGGCCAATACTGCTCTACCATCCGGTGATCAGTGTGCTGGCGATTCTGCTCTCGGCCGAGCTGTCCCCGCTTCGATCCGTGGCTGTCAGCGTAACAGACTGCACAAAATATGGTATTATTTGACCAGCCGAGCATCGATGGTCCTCAGACGGATTAGTGCTTGCCCCCTCCCTCCTTCCTTCGGTAAGGCTTTAGCTGTTTCGGGATGTTGTTGTTCGAATATGTGTTGAACACCGCCGCACTCTCCTCGTCCTGACCCTTACCACTCTTAGACGACGTATGAGGGGTATCTTACCCAAAGCAATTCCCAAGAACTACCGTCAATAAGGAAAAGCGAACAGCCACCACCTTAAAACGAAAGAGGCAGGTTAGAGAAGGTGGGACGAAAATTGCAAGCAGCTGTTAATCTTCAACCATACGGCGGCCGAACCGGCGGGTGGATTGGGGTATTTTTTTCCTTTTTTTTTAATTTTATGCAGATTCGTGTATTTGCAAATATAGGAACATGTGCTGGTAAGGGGCGGTGTGTGTGTTTGCACTTCTTGTCACCAACTTTCAGCTCGAGAACCAGAGAGGCTAGAGGACTGGAACTTTGGGAGTATGTGTCCACACCATGCGTGACCCTCCCGTATTAATGTCATCGTCCGCCCACGCCTGGGTGCCGCGTACGGATGTCTTAAAAAAGTGTGCAGAATCTCGTGAACCAGGCAGGATAAAGAGCTAGAACTCTGCAAAGGTATTCTCTGTGCATGTGTGAGCTAAAGATTTCAAATTCAGTCCCCAGGTACGTGTAGTTCTCAGATATGGACACCTAAAATTGCTCAATGAACAATTAAGTCATTTCCAAAGAGCGATCGTTAAATGGAAACAGTTGTAGTAACGGGTTTGGCATCTTGCCATATACCAGTTCCAGTTTACCGTCTAACGAATTAAAACAAGTTAGCTCGTCATTGAGGTCAAGCTGCCGATTTTAAACACGATAGCAGCTTTAAATAGAGGCCTTATTGATTGTAATAATTTCAGGATTAATCAGGAATGGCAGGAATGACGAAGAAAACTGGGCCGGACGAGGATGCGGAATTAATGAATCGATATAAGCTATGGTTGCTGAAGGCGAAAAGTGATGATCAGTTAGCTGGCTCACCAAATTCCAATGAATTGAAACATCTGGAAGAGCTTTTCGAGGTTGCTTCTTTTTTTTGAAGAATAAAAAGGGCTCGAAAAAGCGAATCCCTTTTTCCCCCTCCCCCCAGGAAAAAAAAAACTTTTTTAAACTCATTTCGATGTTAAAATGGTGTTGGCGCATAACAGGGAGTTGCTTTTTTTAACTTACTTGTAAGCAACCCTCAAAAGAAAGAGAACAACTTTCTAACCACTGTGGCTAATTGCTGTTGGCGATGCTGGATGCCTTCGTGATTCAGACACGATATTCTAATAGAGGAGCTTTTTTTTTTAATTTAGGCTTCAATGATTTTAAGGATCGCATAATTACGATTCTTAAAGATCGCTTTCTATTGGGCAGGGTAAATTTGCTTCATTGGCCCCATTTTCATCCAAGATTGGCAGCGTTCGAGACAAACGTTTAGTTTTACTTTTTTTTTGGTGTAAATTCAACCATAGCAATGTAAAATTCTGTATGCAAGAAGGGCTAGAAATATGTGTGTGTGTGTGTGTGTGTGTGTGAAAAATGAAATGGAAAATGAGGAGGAAGGAAAAGAGGTTATTTCATTAAACAGAACATATATAATTTAAAATGTAAC